GGGGCGGGCTGCGCGCTGAGCAGGGACCGGCTGCCCGCGGCTGCGGCCCCCAGGGCCCCGGGCTGAGCCCGCCTTGTCCCGCAAGGGAAGGCTGGCCAGTGTGCAGAGGAGCGCAGCTCCTTTCAGGGCTCATTAACTGGGGACCAAGAAAGGGGGTGGCGTTGTAAAACAGGAAGGCTGTGCCGGTTCCTGTCGGAGGGGCTGGAAGCCCTCTGTCCGCTGGGAAGCGGGGCCGGCGAGCCCCTGGCCCGGGCCCAGAGGGGCTGCGGGGAGGCGTGGGCAGGCCCCGCCCCGTGAGGGTCCAGCCCTTCCATCTACCGGCCACCCCGGGGCAGCGCCCCGCCCGCCGCGGCTCCGTGAGCGAGGGCGCGGGCGGGCAGGCGGAGGCAGGCCGCGGCTGCGCAGCGCTGCGGGTCACACGGCCCCGGGCCGGGCGGGCTCGGTGCGGCACAGCCGGAGCGGGAAGTTCTCGGTGATGAGGTGGTCGGCGTGGAGCAGCACCACGACGTTCACCTCGAACTCTGCGGGGGAGACGCGGACTCGTGGGCACGCGAGGCCCCGCGCGGGGGACCCCCGGGGTCACTCCCGGACCCGGGCCGACGCGGGGGCCCACGGCCGCTTACCCACTTTGAAGTTGGTGGTCTCGAGCGTGGGGCAGGTGAAGAGCCGCGGGAAGACCATGTGGACGGGCACCGGCAGGCCCCGGCACACGTCGCCCTCGGCGATCTGGATGTTCTGGATCTCCGTGGCGTCGCGCGCATAGCCTTCCGCGCAGCCTGCGGGGGAGCAGATTGCACAAAGCTCCTCCACCCCCTCTCCCCGACCTCAGGGCCCGGGTTTTAATGTGCCCCCCACATTGCCTTTAATCCCCACGTCAACGAAGTGGGGACCCGAGGCCCGCGGAGCTCTGCCCGGGCGCGGGTGGGCTGGGCGGAGGAAGCCCGACCCGGTCTGAGCCAGGGCCCCGCATCGCTGCTCGTCCTGGGCGGCCCGGCCTCGGGTCACCCGGCCTCCGGCGGCCCGGCCTGGCGTCCTGTGAAGGCCTGCTGCAGTGTGCCCTTCGCCCGGCCCGCGACAGCCCAGCTACCTGTATCCGGCCAGTAAAGGCGGAGGGAGGATGGAGGAAACTCAGGAGTTGGGGGTCTGTCCCAGGCGCCATTGCTCTTGACAACACTTAGGTGTCTAGAGTAATCCTCCTCCTCTGCGGTCAGGTGGACAGAGGACAGAGCGGGCAGGCATGCCAACGGCCTGTCTGCGGTATGTCAGTGGCAGGTCACCGGCATGTCCCCAGCCTCGGTGGCCAGGCTGGTGGGTTGCAGAGGGGCAGCCTCTCGGCGCCCATCCTCCCCCCTCCGTCCCCACCATCGCACAGTGCAGCACCTTTGCCGTCCCCCACCAGATGTCAGCACTGTGCGCGTCACCTTCTCAAAACCAGAACCCTGAGCCAAATAAACCTGTTACTGAGGACTGGCTCTTAGGCATCTTGGTGACACGCATATTTACTGCAAAGGACACCCAGCTTCCACCCCCGCCCCCCACCCCCGCAGCCCCAAGCGGCCTCACCGCAGGTCTCCACGCGGACCAGCTGCAGCTCGATGCTGCGGACAGCAGCATCCGAGTGCTCCACCACCAGCTCGCCCGTCAGCGGCTGTGTGATGGCGCAGCTGGTGGAGTTCAGATGTCCTCTAATGAGGAATTTGGGAAGCGAGGCTCTCTAGAACAAGAAAAGCAAAGACATCAGGCCTGGAGGAGAAAGGAGAAATTGCTCCATAATTACTCCGGAATAAATCAATACTATGAAGTCTGGCACTTAGTTTCTTCTTGTTGTTGGTCATGGGGCTTGAACTCTGGGCCTGGGTGCTGTCCTTCTGCTCTTCAACTCAAGGTCCAGCACCACTTCTGGTTTTCTGGTGGTTCATTGGATATAAGAGTCTCACAGACTTTCCTGCCGGGGCTGGCTTTGAACCACAATCCTCAGATCTCAGCCTCCTGAGTAGCTAGGATTACAGGCGTGAGCCATCAGCACCCGGCTGGCACTTAAGACAATCCAATAGGACCCTGTTCTGCAAAATGGTGATGTATCAATGAGATTTCAGGTGAAGACACTGAGTCATCTACCTGTAGACACCGTGTTATTATCCATCTGTAAGGCACCTCTGGACATGACCCACAGGGGGGGCAGATGACTCGGAGAATCACCCCAGCATCTCCATTCCAATCAGAAAGCTCCACCCACCACGCAAAAAGACAAAGTGTAAGAAGTCTGAGAAGTTGTCAAGGGTGTTCCAGAACAAAGGACAACTAGCCACCAAAATAAATATTGAAAAAACGTGTACGTGTGTGTGTGCGTGTGTGTGTGTGTGTGTGTGTGTGTGTGTTGCCACATATATATATGTAGCCACGCTGAAAGTAAAGGGACAGCTGGAAACAGGCAGTGCCACAGGTCAAGGCCCACAATGCTGGAAAACAGGGAAGGCAGGGCTGGGAAAGTAGCTCAGTGGTAGAGTGCATGCCTTGCAAGCATGAGGCCCTGGGTTCGATTCCTCAGCACCACATAAACAGAAAAAGCCAGAAGTGGCGCTGTGGCTCCAGTGGTAGAGCACTAGCCTTGAGCTGAAGAGCTGAGGGACAGCGCCCAGGCCCAGAGTTCAGGCCCCATGACCGACAAAAAAAAAAAAAACAGGGAAGGCAGTATAGAGTCAGGATCAAGCTGTGCATGGTGGGTTATGCCTGTAGTTCCAGCATTTGAGAGGTGGAGGTAGAAAGATCTCTGAAGACCAGTTCAGGCTAGCCTGGGCAGCACAGTCAGGCCCATGTCAAAAACCAAATATGGAGAATCATAAGCACCTTTAAAAGTATTCTTCTTCCAAGCCATTCGTGAGTTCAGCATGAAAGGCAAACGCCAGTTTGGATAGGGACAACAGTTAGGATCAACCTCCCCTCTAACGACCTGAACCTGCCAAAGGTCGCTGGGCCGGAGGCGGTCGTGGTGGAGGTGCACGGCAGTGTGAGGAGCGGTTACCTCCTTGACATTCTGCAAGGTTTCCGGTGTAATGGTGAAGTCCACAGGACTCGGAGTCAGCTTCCCCTTCTGAGGCTAAACAGGAGGGAAACCACAAGCTTGGGGTGAGTGCCCAGGGGCCGCAGCTGAGAGGCGGCACAGAGAGAGAGCCAAAGGGGGCTGGGGAAGGGCAGGAGACAACTCGGATCTGCCCAAACCCAGGTGCCCTCGGTCGGCATCTCCTGTTTCCCATTTCCTCATCTACAAACTGCATGGACAGATGTCTACATCTCCGAGGGAACTTATGGGCTCCAAGTTTTCAAGTTAGACCCAAGGGAGAGAGCAGAACTTCTGGGAGGTACAGTATCTGAGTTGGCATATGGCTGTCACATCTCTCTGATGGTCACCCCTCAGTAAGAAACTGAGGCACAAAGCTCAAGGCCTTGTTTGCTGAGTGGCCCCACTGAGAATGTGGCCAGGGCGGTGCAGGGCGAGTAGGCTACCATGCTGTCTGCCTGAAGAGTCCCTAGAGAATGAACGATAGGTAATCCCCAAATCAACCACACCGTCCATTGCGGAATCCATCCAGAGCCCAGCTATCCTGATGCCCGGTGGCGGTTCCAACCCAGGGCCCAGGATTCAAGGGGCCAACCAGACCCAGGGAGCAGGTGGAGGAAGGGCTCGCCCAGTGTGCGGAGTAAGCAGTGCACTTATGAATGCATTCTTAGTGAGAATAATCTTCCTGTTTAACTTGTAAACCACACTGCAGAGTGCTTTGGCATTAGTACCTAGGCCTGCAGGTGTGAGCCACCTAGCACCTGGCTAGAAATGGCATTTTTAAGAACATCTGTGACTGTAAAATGTCAGGAAAGTCCGCCACAGCCTGGAGCGTCCCTACGTGTTCTCACTGGCAAGAGTGCCAGGGTGGCAGGCCTTGAGCACGCCTCACAAGGGCCGTCTGCCCCAGCACCTTGGGGGCTGAGGCGATGTGGCGCTTTGGGGGCAGAGCAGGCCGGGCTTCGGCTACTGGCCTCAGGTGAAACACAAACCGCACAGGCGGGCATCCACCGAGCACGGCAATCCTATCTCTGCTGACACCCAAGAGATGGCAGGGACCCAGGCATGGTGCATCCCAGACCCCACCCAGAGCCCAAGACAAAGCTTACAGTGGAGTGGACGATGAATTCACAGGTCTTGGTCAGGTCCTTGGCCAGCAGAGACCGCTTCATGTCACAGCGCAGGGTGTACTGGGGAGGGGGAGAAAGGGGGAGAGGGTAGCGTGGCGGGGGGCCCTCTGTCCAGCTCCACACAAAACTTTCCCAGTGAATTACTGTGTTACACAAAATTAGTACACACAGTGGGAGAAGTTAATGTTCAAAATAAAGGCATTTGGCGGGGAAGGTGGCTCAGTGGTAGAGCGCTTGCCTTGCATGCATGAGGCCCTGGGTTCCATTCCTCAGCACCACATAAGCAGAAAAAGCCAGAAGTAGCGCTGTGGCTCAAGTGGTAGCATGCTAACCTTGAGCTGAAGAGCTGAGGGACAGCACCCAGGCCTAGAATTCAGGCCCCACAACTGACAAAACAAAAAGTCTCTTTACTATTATTCTTTAGGCTATTCCCACAGGCATCCTGAAGCTGCATCCATTCTGCAGCTCACCGCGAGCCCAAACAGACAACCTGCATCTCCGCTCTGCCATCTGCACCTGGGGCTCCCAGGCTGCAGGAGGTGCCCCGAGCAGAGGCCTGGCACACATGCCAGGGCAGCACCAGGCATCTCACGGCTTGCCATGCACCAAGCACCAGGTCAAGCTCTGGCTCTGTGCTCACACTGCTGTTCACTAGACAGGTACCGGGAAGGAGCTTTGCCACTGGCCCCGACCCAGGGAACTGCAGCACTTGCTACACACACACACACACACACACACACACACACTAGAGAGGAATGAAGAAGGGAAAACTACTTTTTTTTTAAGCCCAAGATCTGCAAAGGTAAAGAGTAGAGAAGCCCACACCCACAGCTACCTCCAGCCAGCTCAGTGCGCCTGTCCCACCCCGCCCCCAACCGCATCTGCATCTGAGGCAGAACGTGGTACGGCGTGGCACAGCTCGGCGTGGGACTGCTGGTGCGCCTGCGGTGGACGGGAGGGCACACGCGCGCTTCCACGAGAGCACGCACCAGGGCTGGAAACCAAGTTAACACAGCCCGGAACTGGAACCACACATTCTTGCCCGTGAGGAAGGATGCTTGCGAACAAAATTCTGCGCCCTCATCAGTGACCTAACACCAGACTTGCAAAAGTAATAACAGGGAGCTCAGGATGTGAATACATGCGTAAAATCTGGGAGCTCAGGGTGTGGCTCAGTGGTCCACACAAGGCCCTGGTCCAGCCCAGCACAGAAACAAATCAAAAAGCTCTCGCAGGGCTGGGAAGGTGGCTCAGTGGTAGAGCACTTGCCTTGCATGCTCAAGGCCCTGGGTTCGATTCCTCAGCACCACATAAGCAAAAAGAAAAAAGCGCGAAGTGGCGCTGTGGCTCAAGTGGTAGAGGGCTAGCTTTGAGCTGAAGAGCTGAGGGACAGCGCCCAGGCCCAGAGTTCAGGCCCCACGACCAGGCCCCCCCCCCCAAAAAAAAAAGCTCTCGCAAGCTGGGCGCCAGTGGCTCACGCCTGTAATCCTAGCTACTCAGGAGGCTGAGACTTGAGGATCGTGGTTCAGAGCCAGCCCGGGCAGGAAATTCCATGAGACTCTTATCTCCAATAAACCACTAGAAGACCAGAAGTGGTGCTGTGGCTCAAGTGGTAGAGCGCTTGCCTTGAGCTGAAGAGTGCAGGGACAGTGCCCAGGCCCAGAGTTCAAGCCCCACGACCAACCAAAAAAAAAGCTCTCGCATCTGCTTAATGAGATCTCATGCTTAAAGTCAGCTGTTGCCTTAGTCATCCAGAAAAAAACTTTAGATTACATCAAAAGTAATTTTTATACCTGGGACTATATGCATAGACGTGAATCTTCTAAGAAGCTACATTCCTATGAACAACCTATCCACATGAAATAAGTTCCTATATATTTAAGGTACTGCCGGGAGCTGAAATATTTTCCTAAGGATCACTCTTGTCTACAAGGATCTTAATGTTTATATATCTGCACATAGGCATGGATGCCTCCCCCTAATGAGATTTCAATCCAGTGTACATCCAGACTTGCTCGGTGAAAGCTGGTGGTGTGTGTGTGTGTGTGTGTGTGTGTGCGCGCGTGCCTCCCCCTAATGAGATTTCAATCCAGTGTGTGTGTGTGTGTGTGTGTGCGCGCGTGCCTCCCCCTAATGAGATTTCAATCCAGTGTGTGTGTGTGTGTGTGTGTGCGCGCGCGTGCCTCCCCCTAATGAGATTTCAATCCAGTGTGTGTGTGTGTGTGTGTGTGTGTGTGTGTGTGTGTATGCCTCCCCCTAATGAGATTTCAATCCAGTGTACATCCAGACTTGCTCGGTGAAAGCTGGTGGTGTGTGTGTGTGTGTGTTGTATATATTCCTCACACAGTGTAGCACACACATTCTGCTCGGGCTTGCCTGGTCTTTCCTGTTTTTCTCCCAGAGGAACCCCCCTTCTTACTATTAGGTTCAGGACTGGAGAGGTGATTTCCCTAGGCAGCGGGAAACCAGAACTGCACCACGGAGCTCAGGAGAGAATTCTGTCTAGCTGGGTTTGGTGGTACAGTAGATGGAAGCCCAGCCACCTGAGGCAAAGCCAGAACAGCAGAGAATGGCTGAACCAGTTTGATCCCCTGGGGTTGCTGGTTCTACGACCCCAGGACCCTGGTTTGCCAAAGCCCATCAAGATGGATCCATGCCTTGTGCACAGGCATCGGCTTTGGCCGATAGGAAGACAGTGATTAGTAATTCAAGGGAGCGATGAGCAGAGCAAGGGGAAGTGGAGGAACACACCTCTTGTGCTTCAGGATGGCGTCTGTACAGTTCTGTACCCACTAGCTGAGCCCTGGTTTGCGGAAGTCAATGTGAGCTGGGTTGTGTGCTTGTGAATGGAGGGGTATGAACAGTGATGGAAGAACTTCTATGAGGCGAGCAGGACAGCTGTCCTATCTCCCGCACTCAGCATGAGCAGTCCACAGCCTAGCCCTGTGCCCAGCTAGCTCTTCACACACTCCTCACTCATTCCCTAGAGGTAAGTGCAGGAAGCTGCTAGGGGTTCACAAAGGTGGGATGTGGATTCATTTATTTTCATTTATGTACTTACTTATTTATGGTTTGTGGAACTTGAACTCAGAGCCTGGGTGCTATCTCTGAGCTCTGTTGCTCAAGGCTAGCACTTTTCTACTTGGAGCCACAGTTCCACCTCCAGTTTTTAGGTGGTTAACTGGAGATAAGAGGCTCACAGACTTTCCTGCTGGGGCTGGCTCTGAACCACCATCCTCAGATCTCAACCACCCGGGGCAGCTAGGACTACAGGCGTCAGCCACGGTGCATTTATACCTGTCTACAGCAGGGCATACCTATGCAGCTCTCTCACTCCCTCACCTAGTTCCAAGGAGTGAGGCTAGTGGTGTGAGCAATGGAGGTCAGGGGCATCCAGAAGGCATCTCACAGGAAGCATCTGCAGGATGGATGGGCCTGCGGGGGAGGGGTCTGACTATCAATACACAGGCATTGGTAGCAAAAGAGGAAGATACCTGTCAGGTGTAAAGCAGGCTCTTATCAAGGGCACTTCTAACTGGGAAGATGGTGTAGAGTCTCTAGAAACTTCTGACTATGTGATTTCAGCAGACATGGAGGCTACTGCTATTGTGCTTTGCTATAGTATAAAACCCTGCTAAGATGGTCATAAGAGTAGAACATAATGCAACTTGCTCATAATTTAAATGATTCTGAAAAGAAAAAGAGGTTGCAGCAAAGACTGACAAAGTCTCATGGCAATCCTAATAACGAAGATGAAAACTGTTTGTGCCTAGGAGGAGCCAGAGCTACCAGTCCTCCCGCTACGTCCCCTGAGAAACAGCAAGCAAGCAAGCAAAGTGAGCCAGTGTCCTGCCAGCACTCAGGAGCATCCCGGGCCAGCCTGAGTTTCATAGTGAGTTCCAGACTGTTTCAAAACAAAACAGAAATAGAGCAAAGCCGGTTCCAGCTGCAACATTCTGAGTTAACCCTGTGCTAACAAAACACGCAGGTGGGCGCCAAAGGAATCAGCACATTCCAACTCCCTAAGAAATGGTTTTTAGACGACACAGCATTTTGCACATGCCTGTCTGCAAGTGTATCCCTGAAACATTTAGAAAACAATGAGATTTCAATTTAACTTTAAACAAACCATTGACTTTTCCTAAAAGATGATTAAAGAAAAAAGGGGGAGAGGAACAAGTACAATAGTAAAAGCTTGATTTTATTCCATTCATGCCTAATGAATATACCCTTTCACTAAAAGCCAATGATGCTGACCCTAGATAGGTAACAAAAATTGTTTTCCAGCCAGGCATCAGTGGCTCACACCTGTAACCCCAGCTACTCAGGAGGTTGAGATGTGAGGATCATGGTTCAAAGCCAGCGTGGGCAAGAAACTCTTATCTGTAGTTAACAAAAAAAAGCTGGAAGTGGAGCTGTGGCTCAAGTGGTAGAGCACCAGTGTTGAGCAAAAAAGTTCAGGGACAGTACCCAGGTTCCAAGTTCAAACACCCTAGGACCAGCACAAAAATAAAGAGATAAGCTAACAAACCAATGTTTTTCCACAAGACACAACTTATTTTCAGCCTTGCTATTTTCTTCTCCACTTCCTACCATGGTGCAAGCATTCCTGGCCTAGCAAGCTGACCAGAACTCCCACCAACGTACCAGCAATGGGCATCTAGCTGTCTGCACACAAGTACTCTTGCTGACTCTAGAAACTTCTCTAATCAGTATTGTTATTCTTAAGACTCGTGTGTGTGTGTGTGTGTGTGTGTGTGTGTGTGTGTACCTGACACAGGTGTACTAATAAAGGACTAGAACATGTCTTTTTTTCACAGGAAGACACGTCTACAGCTTGCCTCACTCTACGTGCTTCGCACCGATCTCTGCCGCGGCTCCTGAGACTTGTAGTGGGACGCGTGGCTGCGCCTCCCCAGCCCTTCCAGGTCCTGCACTGATAACGTGTCCTTCCACAAGCAGGAGCATACCAGCCCAAAGGATTAGCTCAGCAGATAAATCCAACTCCTGACTCTCGCCCTGCTGCCCGTGTGCAGATGAACAAGGACACCTTTCTTCCTGGGCTTTCTCTGGCTCTGCTCCTGAGACCACAGTCGCTGGGAAAGCCTCCTTGAGAGGAGGGGGACGGAAGTCATCAACCCCTTCCCCTCACTGCAGTGGCCCCCTGTGAAGAACGCAGGCCTGTGAGAACGCGCTAGCCTCCGGGGTGAGACAAAGAGACACTTGTAAGAATAAAATAGGCAAGTGAGTGCTGGAAGCAGAAAGAAGTTGGAGTAGCTGCCTCCCCAACATAAAAGTGACCGTGTCGCTGCAGCCGCAGAGGACGCAAAGCAAACAGGGGTCTGGAGGAAGTCATAATGAGGTTCCTGAGATCATGGTTGTGCTGGATGCCAGCGGCTCACATCTGCAATCCTGGCTACTCAGAAGGCTACGTTCTGAGGACTCCAATTCAAACCCAGGTTGGGCAACAGAGCCTGTGCAACTTTTTTTTTGGCCAGTCCTGGGGCTTGAACTCAAGGCCTGGGCCCACACTGAGCTTCTTTTTGATCAAGGCTAGCACTCTACCACTTGAGCCACAGCACCACTTCTGGCTTTTTCTATGTATGTGGTGCTGAGGAATCAAACCCAGGGCGTCATGCATGCTAGGCAAGCACTCTACCACCGAGCCACCTTCCCAGCCCTGTGAAACTCTTATCTCCAGCAAAAAGCCAGAAGTGAAGGTGTGGCTCTCCTGATAGAGCACCAGCCTTGAGCAAAACAACTAAGGAATAATACCCAGACCCTGAGTTCAAGACCCAGGACTGGCGCATGCATGTGGCACACGCGTGCACACACACTCATACACACAAATAATGGTCAAATGAGCTGGGGACATCTCTCAGAAGGCAGACCCAAAATGTGGCAGCAGGGCAAAACAAGCGGCGGCGCAGCGCGCACACATGCGGTGCCCGCGAGAAAGCAGGGTCACTCCTGCTTCTGTCTTTCAAGCTGGTTTCCAGTAGCAAGTTGAAGACGTGCACAGGCGGGGTAGGAAACGCACCTGAATGTTGACAAACACGCCATGGTAGGTCTCATATAGGACCTTGTTCCCCTTCACGTGCAGAGGAAACTCGAAGGGAATCTCCGTCTTCCCGCTGGGAAACTTCCCTGGCTTCACCATTTCTATGGTGCTGGTGATAATCTGGATTGGCTGTAAACAAAAATCAATTCAGTCCATCAGTGTGCATGCGCCAACTGTCTGCCTGAAGCTCCGGCCTGAGCCCCAGACGCTGACTTCCTGGTGCTTCAGCAGCAATCTGGTTCCATCTGGTAAGTCTCTGGCACGATGAGGGTCATTTCTAGTGATGGGCCTGAGGTGCTTGTGCCCAGTAGAAAGTGATCTCACACAAGCACCTCCCTGAGCCATGCCAACACCCCCACTGCGCAGCGAGGGCCTCCCTTGGGTCGCCCCTTCCTTTCCCCTCCCTCTCCCACCCCAACCGGGCCAGAAGGCCTGCGGTCCGGTCCTCCTCCCTGCCCGCTGCAGAGACACAAGCGTCCCAGAACCTGAGCACAGCGCTGTTGCTCGGCCCTCCTCACTCAGGGTTGACATGGCCTTCGGGAAAAGGAAACCATAACTTTAGAAGAGCTTTCTGGAACACTAAACTCCACACAAATTGACAAAAGACCTGCTTGCCTTAATGTCAGTTTGACAGGGGAGCAGCTAATAAAGAGCAGATTTGATGGAAGAAGACAAAGACACAGCTGCAACTTCTCAGAAGAGTTCTATTCTTTTTGTGTGTGTGTGCCAAGACCTGGGGCTTGAACTCAGAGCCTGGGTGCTGGCCCTGAGCTTTTGTGCTCAAGGCTAGCCCTCTACCACTTGAGCCACAGCTCTACTTCTGGCTTTTTGGTGGCTAATTGGAGATAAGAGTCTCATGGACTTTCCTGCCCAAGCTGGCTTCAAACTGCGATTCTCAGATCTCAGCCTCCTGAGTGACTAGAACTCTAGGTGTAAGCCACTAGCACTCAGAAAGCTCTGCTACTTTTTTTTTTTTTTTTGGTCGGTCGTGGGACTTGAACTCTGGGCCTGGGCGCTGTCCCTCAGCTCTTCAGCTCAAGGCGAGCTCTCTGCCACTTGAGCTACAGCGCCACTTCCGGTTTTCTGGTGGTTTACTGGAGATAGGAGTCTCAGGGTCTCTCCTGCCCGAGCTGGCTTTGAACCTTGATCCTCAGATCTCAGCCTCCTGAGTAGCTAGGATTACAGGCGTGAGCCACCAGCGCCCGGCTTAGCTCTGGTACTTTTAATGGCCAATTAATTCACTTATCATTCACCTCGTCGCATGTGTCAAGGAGGAATATACAGAAACAGGGCTTGAAATAAGGGTGCATTTAGAAACAAAGCATGACTTTTGGGGTTGATAGCATGAGGGCTATTTATCCCTTGCAAATTGAAACAGGCAGCAATAAAGAGGGAGTATAGCTGGGCACCAGAAGCTCATGCCTGTAGTCCTAGCTACACAGGAGGCTGAGATCTGAGGATCACGGTTCAAAGCCAGCCCAGGCAGAAAGTCTCTGAAACTCTTATCTCCAATAAAACCACCAGAAAAGGAGAAGTAGCACTGTGGCTCAAGTGGTAGAGCGCTCGCCTTGAGCTGAAGAGGTGAGGGACAGCGCCCAGGCCCAGAGTTCAAGCCCATGACAAAAAAAAAAAAAAAAGTTCAAAGCCAGTCGGGGCAGAAAAATCCCTTCACTTTTTGCTCAAGGCTGGTGCTCTTTCACTTGATTTTTATTTCCAATTAACCATCAAAAAGACAGAAATGGAGCTGTGGCTCAAGTAGTAGAGAGCGAATCTTGAGGAGAAAAGCCACATGAGAGGTAGAGGCCCTAAGTTCAAGACCCAGTATGGCACATCCACACAAATAAACCAAGAAATAAAAGCAAGTGCGACAGCGAGTCTTCTCACCTTCGCAGAATTGTAAAATGCTTCGAACACGCCCACGCTTTTGGCACTGAGCTGGAGGTTCACGGTTCCTTCCATGGTCAGAAACACGCCCTGGTGCTGCACGGGATCCTTGCTGGAGATGACCACCACGCCTGACAGCATTTCCTGTGAGACAACATGGCCTCTGACTAGAGCAGCTCGGTATGGAAACGAAGTGTCCTTGGCGCCTTCAAGGAATGGGCCGTGAACTGTGACACTGAGTGGGGCTGGAGAAGCCCTGCCCCTGGGAGCAGTCGGCGCCCACTCACTGCTGTGGACACGCCGAGGAGAATGGGGCGGGGGTGGGGGGGTAGATTTTTGCCCCATCCCTGCCTTCCACCCTGCACCTTCATCCCAGGCTGGGAGAATTCCAACTGCTACCCCCGTCCCCAGGGCCCAAGGATGTCTGAGTCCCCTTAGCGTGCTGTGTGGAGTGAAGTGACACTTGGCATTCATAGTGTCCCTTCAGAGGGAGCGGCGGAAGTAAGTGTCTCGTGGACTTTTCCTGTGTGCTAGCAGCAACGTCCTCAGTGGCTCAGGCCTTTAATCCCAGTTACTCCAGAGGCTGAGATCCAGAGGGTCATGGTTGGAGCCAGTCAAGCTCAGGCAGTAAAGTCCACCAGAATCCACCTCCAACTAGCCCACAAATAGCCAGGATGGTGGCAACAGCTCAAGTGGGGGGGTGCCAGCTGAGCACATGGCTGGGCAGGTATGAGGCCCCGAGTTCAAGCCCTAGTGCTACCAAAAAGGAGAGGAGGAAGGATGAGCAAAGGCATAGAAAAAAACTAACTCATGGGCTACAATCTCGGCACCAGACAAGACTCAACTCAGAGAATCAAGGCATCAACAAGGGATGGGGACAAAACAAGTCTAAAGGGTGCAACCACAGAAACAGGGTCTGTCTATGGCCAAGACTACTGCATAAACGCACACACAGCACGTGAGTGGTGGAAGCAGCCAATCTGACACTCTACTCTTAGACCACGAATAGAAAAGCAGACAGCAAGCACAGAGATAGACGACGTCACTGACGCGTCAGCCAATGACAATCTGGTGTGGCACGCAGAGCTCTTCCTTGGTGCGTTGCCCTGAACTTTACTTCAGGGGGTGCTGGTCTCATTCTGTCCTTCCTGGGGACAGTTTCAGCAATACACGGGAGGAGAGAGAGGCCAGCACCCACCAATGCAGCAGGGGGGCGGGGGGGGTGAGGGAGGCCGGCACCCACCAATGCAGTGGGGGGGGGGGTGAGGGAGCCCAGCACCCACCAGACTGCTACATTCAGGCACCAGAGTCCAGGACAGGCAGTGTACCAAGGAGAAAACTGGGAAGAGACTAACCCAGCCAACTGCTGGGCCTATACTTTTTGGTTTAAATCTTCTAGTAATGCCTGTAATCTAGCTACTCAGGAGGCAAAGATAGAAAGGACCATGATTTGAGGCCATGAAAAAGTTATTAAGAGCTCATCTCAACCAACAAGAGGGGTGCAATGGTATAGTCCAGTCATCCTAGCTACTCAGGAGGCTTTAGACAGGAGGACTGCAATCTGAGGCTACCCTAGGAGGTTGTATCTGAAAAATAACTAAAGCAGCTGCACGCTGGTGGCTCATGCATGTAATCCTAGCTATTCAGGAGGCTGAGATCTAAGGCTCTCGATTTAAAGCCAGCCCAGGCAGGAAAGTCTAATAAGACTCTTATCTCCAGTGAACCACCAGAAAACCAGAAGTGGAATGGTGGCTCAAAGTGGTAGAGTGCTACTCCCGAGCAAAAAGAGTTCAGGGAGAGCACGGAGGCTCTGACTTCAAGCCCCACTACCACCCCCAACCCCCCCAAAAAAAGAGACTAAAGTAAAACTCTTGAGTTAAACCCCAATTCCACTAAAAATATATTTTTAAAAGTTCTCCTCTAGGAAGCGAAAAGCTTTGAGGCCTCTATGTGCAGCGTTACTACATTCCACCTTGAGAAGGACTCAGCCTTGTAAGGCTTGCCACAGGCCTAAGGACACTGGTAAGGAAAACCTGCAGCCCACTGGGTCTGGCCGTTACTACAGCCACCTGTGCCAGCATGGGGGGGGGGGCGCGGGGGGAATGGCCTCATCCCAACAGAGCAGCTCTGCTGTGTTCTGCCTACAAATGACTTTAGTGACACTACAGCAATAAAAACCCACCTATTAGAATTGCTTAGGCCTCCACTTACTAAGTGTCAGGGCTTCAATTACCTTTGAGCAATCTTATCCTAAACAGCGCTCTCTTTCTGGAGCTATTTACGAGGAAATATTCATTTTAACATACAAGAGGGAAGGCAAGCGTAGTTTACACTGCCTTGAGAAGGAAATGGTGTCAGAGCTGGATCTTTTCTGCTACAGGTAAACGCATCAAGAAAAGTGCGTACAGGGGGCTGGGAAGGTGGCTCAGTGGTAGAGCGCTTGCCTTGCATGCCTGAGACCCTGGGTTTGATTCCTCAGCACCATATAAGAAAAAAGAAGAAAAGCCAGAAGTGGCGCTGTGGCTCAACTGGTAGAGCGCTAGCCTTGAGCTGAAGAGCTGAGGGACAGGCCCAGGCCCAGAGTTCAGACCCCACGACTGGACCCAAAAAAAAAAAAAAAAGAAAAGAAAAGAAAAGTGTGTACGGGAAGTTTCTGCTACAGGTAAACGCATCAAGAAAAGTGTGTACGGGAAGTGGCGCTGTAGCTCAAGTGGTAGAGTGCTCGCCTTGAGCTGTGCCCAAGCCCAGAGTTCAAGCCCCACAACCAACCAAAAAAAAAGTTATGAAAAGTGTGTACACTACAGACCATTACAACTGCAAAGAAGTCTTCCTTCCAATGAAGTTCCTTTTCTTTTGGGGGGGGTCCGGTCTTGGGGCCTGAACTCTGGGCCTGGGCGCTGTCCCCCAGCTCTTCAGCTCAAGGCTAGTGCTCTATCACTTGAGCCACAGCGCCACTTCCGGCT